CTCGTCTCTCTCTCTCTCTCTCTCTCTCTCTCTCTCTCTCTCTCTCTCTCTCTCTCTCTCTCTCTCTCTCTCTCTGTGAATCGCGTGATAGACACGCACGTACGTTAATGAGCGAGCGCTTGTCGTCGAAGAGTCATTCACCCAACGACGCACACTCGTTATAACGTCAATGTGAGGATGGTTGCGCTCGCGGAGGAATCGCGATGATTTTGTCCAAAAAACAACTAAAGAAGCCAACAAGGAGAGCAATGATATATGTTTATAAGATATTAATGATTGTTTTTGATTACTTTAGCAAAAAACTTCATTAAAAATTTGACAAACGATATTATCTTACTATAATCTTAGAACACGATCGTTAAAACTTTAATATTTTTCAAATATATTATAACGTTACAGTTAATTTTTTATTTTTCAAATATATGATACTAAATATGATCATATTATAATTGATTGGAAGAAACTTTGGGATATATATTTTTAAAAATCTAAGTCTATTATTTTTAATTTTATGCTTCAATGAACACAATTGCATTCTTGAGGATAATTATATTAATTCTATAGGATGATTTATATTAATTTTTTTGAAAGAATTTTTTTGTTGTTTATGTCACAATATTTTCATTAAATAAAAAAATATATATTTAATTGCATTGACAAAGTGAAATTTTGATTATTCCTTGTTATATTTCAGTGTATTATTCATTTTAAAGTGAGTCGTAATTGTGTCATCTTACCGGGACCGCTGGCTTGTTTCGCCAATTGGCTAAAATGAAATGCGCCAAACGCGTGCACACATTGCACATGATGCACTCCTCGGGCCGCAGCTGTTTCTTCGTAAAAAAGTTCTTTGTCATTAAAGAGACAAAATTAAAACTCCGCGAAAGAACGGTGTAACCGCTTGAAATATTTCACTGAGAGAAAGCAAATTGGTGTGGGTCTCACACTGTTCGTTCTTTGCAGTTTAATGTTACATTATTAAAGAAGAAATTAAAGAAGCGAACTTGATATATTATTGTATTGTATCTTTCAATTTTACTCTTAATAAAGATCTAAAATTATTTATATTCTAATTATATAGGATTTTCTGATTTTTATAGATTTTTTTTTAAAGAAAAAGAACTTTTTTTATTAAAAGGAATATACCTATAAATTTATAAATAATGACATTTCTTCAAGGGTATATATCAAAAATAGATTTAAAAAGTAAATTTAAAGAAGTAAAAGTTACTAATTTTTTTAACAAATATAATGAATTTTTAATTCAACCATCCAGATTCATTTTTCGTTCCCGCGTTATTGTTCGTTGACGTTGTTTTCGACATAATTCTTATGCGCCACTCAAAGTCCAAGCTGAAACATCCGATTGATAAAATGACCTATTTTGTTTTCACGTGAGGTTAATATTATGGGCGCCGCATCAAATTTAACGCTCAAGTCGCACATCGTTAACGAGCGACCCGGTTCAAGTGAATTGACACGAATTAGGGCGACAAAGTAATAATCTCTATTGTGACACTATTCTGTTTTTAAACTTGTTTTATACTTTTGTTGAACAGCAAGGTAGTCATTTAGTTTACAAAAATATGAACTAGTTCCTTTACATTATATTAATACTGCTTTTAAAACGCATATTTCTAGATTGTATATTTTAAACCAAATTTCATATGAAATTTGCTGTTGTTAAAAAATATGTTTAAAAAATTAGATTAATTAAATTTTATAATAAAAGTATATTAATTAAAATATATACTATATGAAGTACATTTAACATGCTCTCTATTATTATAATTAAATATATTAAATAGATTTAACATTTAATATTTAACATTTAACACTTATTTCTGATTTCTATGGTAAATTTGAGTAGAGAGAGAATTTTTATAAAATTGATTTTTTTTGTATAGTTATTGGGCTATCCTTTTCTATGGTAATATAATTGCAATTTAGCTCGAACAAATTTCTCCAATCTTCAATATCCAATCAATATTATTTGTTCCGTTATACAAGAGTTTATGGGCCGAGAATCAGTATCGGTCATCGAAGCGTTCGATAATCGATGCTGGGGAATGTCAAGCCAGTATTGATAGTCTCGCTGAAGTTCGTTTATGTGCTCGGACGTTTTGACATTCGCGTAAGTCAGCTAGTGGGAAAGTTCGATGCGCTATCACTGCCGAGGCTATCACCGAGGTCGTAGGTCAGAGCTGAGCCGATGACACACACGCATACACATGTAATCACCGTGAAACGGTGAAAATAGATAGCATTGCCTGAAAGTAATAGGAGAAAACCATACTAGCTGCCAACTCTCTTCCTGATATCGTCGATAACGTTCTAATGCTTGGCGAGTCAAATGCAGGAAATAATTTGAGATCTATTCTTGCATTGACGAATATTTTAATATTTTAATATTTTGAAGCAAAATAGTATTTGAAAAAAAATTACTCAACAAATAATAATAATATCTCAAATAATAAAATCTTTTTTTTTTTATTGAAAATTATTCTATATGAAATGCGTATATGTATGCATATTAACTACATCATATTTGGATAATCGATGAAAATTAATTTAGAATTAATACAATGACTCGTTTTAATAATTTACGTTTTAATTACATATTATTTTTAATTTTGGAGCTGTTGCTTATAATCTTTCTTTATATATGATTATTTACCTTTTTACGATTATCCTTATTTTTATCACTGTAGACATATTTACACATACACAAATGTTCATATGTGTATGAATGTATAATATCATCAATCATAAAATAATAATTTTAGTTAAAATTTATATTATCTGTAAACAAAATAAAAATATATAATTTATAACATTCTTTTTCATAAATCTTGCAATTTGGTTAAAAAAATTGCAATTGTAGATTTCGTGTTATAGTTTTATACATAAGGAATTTATTTACATAAGGAATGCCACAATAATTTATTATAATAATTACGATATATAATAATACCGTATGATACGAAATATTTTATTTTTTATTTTGTTATATTATAATGTAGCAATCCGTAACAAATTTCTGCAGTATATCTCGACAATATGTAAATACTATCGAAAGTCTCATTCTATAGTATATTGAGACGATTGCGTCGAATTTGTATATTAATTGTAAGATATCAATATTACTTGTCGTAATCTTGGTGCATGTGCAATCATCTTTAGGCAGTGGCAGCCATATGACAGTAGGATGACAATAAGAAAGACGACGTTTTCGGTAACACATGTCGCACGCGCTAACGCAATCGCGCAATCGGTCGCAATCATTTTGATGACTGCGAATCGTCGACGATAACCGACGAAATGGAGATGATTGTCGTGTAGGAAGGTCCTCTAAGTAGATCATCGTGTTCGTGGATACGTGATATACATCTATGTCAACGCGATTTGTCACTGACCTGGGGCCCGCATAATAACAATATAGGAATTGACCGAAGAAACACTTCATTCGAATATTGAAGTTCTTCTCACATAATACGCGAGTCTTTTTTAAACAACCGAATACGTGTGACGCTTATATTTTGAATAATCTATATTAATATTAGTAAAAAATTATTAGTTTTTGTATAAGACAAAATTATTATTATCTTTTTAAGACAGCGTTAACTTTTAAATTATTGTTAAATTATCAAAGTCTATATTTTAAAATATATAAATAACAAACAGATTTATTAGTTGAAGTAACCGATAGACATAGCAGTTTTAGAAAAGATCTTTTTTATCTTAATTTACGAGAAAAGTATTTAACATTTTTGTAAAAAGTAATAATTATTATATCAAGTTGTTTATATATTACTTCAGACTAAATTGATTAAAAGACCAAGCCATTTTAAATTCTTATATAATTTCTCTCGTAATACAGGAAGTAAAATTTCTGTCTATTAGTTTACTACCATCCGCCTTTGCGTTCGCATGCGAAAGTCTTCGCATGCTTGAATTCCACTTAACTAGTTTTACATGGTATGCTCGCTTTCTTTGGCATTTCCAACAAATTGCACGCCCACGAAGCTCTTTGTCTGCCTAGCAAATACAGTAAATCGAGGAAAGCAAACAAAAACTAAAATACATTTATAAGAAACAAGTGCAACAGTAAACCTCTCTGAAATTGAAAACATTTGAATTTTACTGTGGATGGTTTCAAGGTTACGACGAAATATGTCGTAATCGGAAGTTTAACCACAAAAAGAAAACTCGGAGAAACGGAAAAGACTATAATGAAATTAATTGAGAATTTCATGTCCAGGCTAATTGAACTTTGTCGGTGATGATGAAGCCGACGACAGAACCGATCTAGAAGAATCGCGAGTGGAATTTCGCAATTCTTCCCACTAACTTCCCCGTTAACTAATGTGAGAAAA